GTGTGTGTGTGTGTGTGTGTGTGTGTGTGTGTGTGTGTGTGTGTGTGCGCGCGTGTGTGTGTGTGTGTGACAGAGTGTAAATGCATCTGTTACCACTGAGTGGAACTAAATGTTACATCTCTGAAGGCAGACTGTGTTCAGCAGGAAGTTGTTGGAAACTTAAAGCTAACACAACAGAGCTGATGAGAAGACGATGTCCACCAGGTGACTTCACGTCCACGTCTCTTTTGTGTGCAAAACAAAACAAAAGCTTTTTCCTTCTGTTTTCCATCAGCTCATGACTTCCATGAGTGACATCTTCTGAAATGGGACTGCAGGAGTCGTCCTCATGTGTCCTTGTTTGGCCTTTCATTTATGTTTCATAGATTATGGAAGACGTTGCTCATGGAAGCAACCTCAGATATGCAGACGTGAAATCAAATCTTACAAACATAAAATAAAATAAGCCAAATAAACAAACAAAAAAACTAAAATTCTAATTATTCATCAAAATGTTTGGCAAGATTGAGCACAGTCATGATGAGTTGCAAAATATTGAGACATTATGGATTTGACATGTCTGGACTGCTGTTTTTATTTATTTCTCTTTTTCTTTTTTTAAACAATTTTTACACAATTACAGTTTAAAGTTGAATATTTTTTTCCATTTGAAAATTTCCAAACTGTTGAACTGAATATAATCTAATAAACTGTCTGTATTCTGACCGCACCCCCAGCCCCACCACCACCACCACTGGTACATGTCTGTAAAAAATAATTTAAAATTAATTGGTTTAATTTAGGGGCATGGTTCATAAAGTAAGGAATATTTCCAGTGAGTTTTTCCGTCACAGTAATATCAAAACGTTGATTATGTTGAGATTTATTAAACTCACTGATACTGAATATTTTCTCTCATTAGCTTCAATGAGTTGCTGCTCCTCGGGACGTCTTGTCGTTTGTAGTTATTTCAGTTTTTCTATAACTGACATATTCTCAGTGGTCCTATTTGAAGTCAAGCTGGGTGCTTTCATGTTTCTCTTCTGGTTCCTAGCAGAGGTGGGGAGCGAATCAAAGCATGAATTTTAACGACCAACGTGAGGTCTAGAGGTTTCTGGAGCTCCAGCCTCTCTGCCTAACTGCTACTTAGCATTCTGGACAAGGTGTGAGCAGATGTAATTAAGAGGTGTGTGATAAATGCGCTGCCTGGGTGCATGCATGTGTGCCCAAGTGAGAGCTGGATATTAAATCTTGAGGCGGAGAAAGCCAAAAGCTAAACAGGCTGTGAAATTACTTTCAAAGGAGCGAAGGCTGGGGTCCCTCTGAACAACCAGAGGCAAACTGTTTACATTTGAACATTTTACAAACTCTCACTGTGTTGTAACTATTGGGAACTATTTGGAAACTCAAAACTGAGAGAACATTAGCAATTGTTTGTTGCAGTCTCACTTCATGTTGAGTGTTTATAAGCAGCAGTTTTGAGCCCTCAGAACAGACCCAGACCAGAGGTCGATATGTTGCTGGAGTTTCAGAGAACCACGTTTATTTTCTAAACACAACGTCCCAGTGGCTTTTAAACCCCAAAATACATTACAGCAAAGACTGGTAATATATTTCTTTATTCTATACTCTGCCCAGTGAAAAACAATCGTGGTAGCAACATGACTGTAGCACCTCTGAGCATGTTTCTGTTGGAACCAGGCAGCTGTAGCTCAAGTTAATCTGTCAAGAGCTGCATAGAGACCACTTTTTAAAAAAGGGATGAATGCAATGATGTGGAGGTGCCATCATCTAATATTTTATTCAGAATAGAACACAAATCACAGATCAAAAGTTTAAACTGAGAGAATGTATCATTTTAAGGGAAAAATCTGTTGTTTCCAAATTTCATGGCGTCAACAAATCCCAAAAAAGTTGGGACAAGTCCATTTTTACCACTGTGTGGCATCCCCCCTTCTTCTTACAACACTCAACAGACGTCTGGGGACAAGGAGACCAGTTTCTCAAGTTTAGAAATAGGAATGCTCTCCCATTCATGTCTAATACAGGCCTCTAACCGTTCAATCGTCTTGGGCCTTCTTTGTCGCACCTTCCTCTTTACGATGCGCCAAATGTTCTCTATAGGTGAAAGATCTGGACTGCAGGCTGGCCATTTCAGTACCCGGATCCTTCTCCTACGTAGCCATGATGTTGTGATTGCTGCAGAATGTGGTCTGGCATTATAGTGTTGAAAAATGCAGGGTCTTCCTTGAAAGAGATGACGTCTAGATGGGAGCATATGTTGTTCTAGAACCTGAACATAGTTCTCTGCATTAATGGTGCCTTTCCAGACATGCAAGCTGCCCATGCCACAAGCGCTCATGCAACCCCATACCATCAGTGATGCAGGATTCTGAACGGAGTGTTGATAACAACTTGGGCTATCCTTGTCCTCTCTGGTCCGGATGACATGGCGTCCCAGTGTTCCATAAAGAACTTCAAATCGTGACTCATCTGACCACAGAACAGTCTTCCATTTTGCCACACTCCATTTTAAATGACCCCTGGCCCAGTGCAAATGTCTGAGCTTGTGGAGCTTGCTTAGAAATGGCAACGGCGGATGGCACGGTGGATTATGTTCACTGTAGTGAACTAAGCCTCAGGTCAAATCTGGCCCTGAGGGCCTTCCTGGGACAAGAACTGTTACTTCATTGATTTGAGTCCAGAAACACAAAATTAAGTTCATCCAGAGACTTTCTAAGTGTGTCCTGCACTGATCAATTGAAAGAACACTCTCTTTTTTATTATCATTACTATTTTACAATGTCTTGATAATCAAAAGTGTGTTTAGTTCAAACCATTTTAAATGTTGAAGTGAACTACTCATTTTAAATCAACTGTGAAACAGTATAAATGATTTTTAATCCTCATTCAAAGTAGAAATCAAGTTAATGTTTGTTACAAGAGTAATTATGCATTTTGATTCTCTGTCTGAAATGAGAAGGAGTAAGTGGGTCAAAAGTCAAGTTTCGGTCAAAAACATGTTTATTGGAAAGAAATGTCATGTTTAACTTTTTCAGATAGATAGAAGGAGAACTGGCTCCAAAGGTCTCCGTTTCTTCAAAACATCTTTCTGTCTGTTCTTAAAACATCTCTTTATCTGTTCCTAAACATTAAATTGTTTTTCTGACTTCTAGTGACCTCTTACGTCACCAAAACCACACCCCTGATTGGTTCTTTCAACCAATCAGAAAGTTCTCAGAGGAACCGGAAGTGACCTCTTTAAAAAGGGTCTACACTTCCTAGTTCCAGGCAGGAACGGAGAACAACGGGAACTAAGCTGAACAAAGTTCAGTTCGGAACGTAGAATGCAGTTCGGAACGCAGAACGCAGAACAAAGTTCTGAGTCTCGTGGGGATTATGGAATCTTCCACATCTGAGTGGAACCTCTGACGGACTCACAGCTCATGCGAGCCCACTCGAGAGGTGAGTTGCTGTCGAACGAAGTACCGTCACTACTCCGGACGTTTTCCAACCATCCTACGGAGACGCTGGAAATGGTAGCGTTAAATGGAACTCCGTACCAGCTGATTCATCTTCAGAGAGGTAACGAGTCGATTTCCTACCGAAGCGTACCGAGGTGGAGCTGGGTTCGAATGGAGAGTGCCGTTCGTTATACAGACACATTTCCCTCACCCATTCTCTCCATTTAAACTCCTTCATTTCCCATCTTTAAAACTCTTCTATCTGCCAGTAATCATCCAGATATTTTCAGAAATGTCTTGTCAATTGACCTAATTAGTGTTAATTGGTCTTCCAGGTGTTCGTTATATGCTCAATTTCCTTTTTCCAGCCACTTATTGCTACTTGTCCCAACTTTTTTGGGATTTGTTGACACTGTGAAATTTTGAATCAACATATTTTTCCTTTAAAATGTTACATTTACTCAGATTAAACTTTTGATCTGTCATCTATGTTATATTACGAATGAAATATTGACATTTGCCATCTCCACATCATTGCATTCAGTTTTTATTCACAATTTGTTTAGTGTCCCAACTTTTTTTGAATCTTGTTTGTATACATTTATATACATATTATTTTTAACTCATCAGGTTTAGATGTTTTACGATCTCTTCAAAACAGGCATTCATCATTGCTGTAAAGGTTATTGACTTATTACTTAGAACAATGTTGCACTCAGTGAACTGTCTTCATGGTGCATTCAGGTACAACATGTTGTTTCAGTAACTCTCACGTCTCGTTAAGTTGGGCGCAGGCAGGAAACCTGACTGCTGACAGTACATACAGTATCCATCCATTCCATCCATTATCTTTTACCTGCTTCTTCCATTTTGGGTCACGGGGGTCGCCGGTGCCCATGTCCAGCAATCACTGTGCGAGGGGTGGGGTACACCCTGGACGGGTTGCAAGTCCATCACAGGGCCACATAGAGACAATAGAGACAAACAACCATTTACTCTCTCACGCACACCTAGGGACAATTTAGAGTTACCAATTGGCCATTTAGAGTTATCAATTGGCCTAACATGCATGTTTTTGGTCTGTGGGAGGAAACTGGAGTACCCGGAGAAAA